TCAGGAAGAGTTATCAGAATTTTTAAGGAAATGGCATCCCACCCCACCGAATTTTTATTTTTGATTTCACCAAACATTTCTTTTATTTCATAGATATCCGTAGGTGCGAAGAAGAAAGTAGAAGTTACTGTAATATTCTTCAAGTACGACATTGGGTCGTTTTTCACAATGATTTTTTCAGCTAGTTTAGTTGCCACAGAGCAATAAAATGAGTTCATCTGAGTTAAGAGTTGGTTTTATTGACTCGGTCATATGCTTTCCTCTCAATTCATTGATAATATTCCATGTTTCTTTTTGTTTATTCTTGGAGTGTTCAATTCTGTTGAAGTAATACATATTTTTGGCATTTTTAATTATCAATAATAATAGTTCATCGATTTTTAAGAAAACAAGTTCAATAATGGTGATCTATTTAAATCCAGTTGGTCATTCATTAGAATGTTTGAATTTTTAGGTTTATTAATTTCCATTGCTTCAAAATGATTCAGCTTTAAACCTACATTTTCTATGTGTAAAATTTCGAAATCTATGTCCAAGATATAATTTTCTCCTAAAAGATGATTTGAATATGTTGAACTTGTTTTCTTATTTACATAGCTCTACCAGACAATGCAAAATTACTATCCTTCGATGTGCAGAATCTATTTCCCAGCATACCTCTTGATGAACCCAGTTATAAAACAAGAAATTATTGACCTTCTGTCTCAATATTTATTCTCAATATTTATTCCTCTTTAAAAGGTTTAATTATGAGAAATCCATTGAATCCCTTATTTGCGGAAATTTTTATGGAAGTCGCTTTTTAAACATCCTTTGAGTAAGTATTTCTTGTATCGGCATAGATATGTGGGTGACTTTTTGGTAGGTTTTACATATACTAAGAGACAATTAGATATATCACAAACCTTCCCATACAGATATTACTATACATTACGATTCTACCCATCCAGATCAACACAAAGATCATCTTATAATAGCGTGATTCACAAATTAGTCAATGTTCCTCTTTCAATAGATTATTTTAATAAAGAACTCAATATCATCAAGCAAATTGCAGTAAACAACGGATTTAAAGCTGAATTAATAGACAAAATTCTATTCCAAAAAGTCTACGCAAAAGCGATTCGAGACGTTTTTCCTATTGATAAGTTAGATAACCAAAATTGTAGAGCTTTAACAAATTTTGGAAAAAACAGAAAAAGAGGCTTCATTTTTGAATAAACAAGATATTGAAATTGCATATGGAACAGGTAATACATTAGTTGAAAATAATAAAGACAAAAGATCTAAATTCGAGAAATCAGGAGTATAATATAAATTAAAGTGTGGAAATTGTTCTAAGGTGTATATTGGTCAATCTCAGAACATTTAGGAATCGTATCCAGGAACATCATATTTATGTAAATAAATATTATTATTGTATTAATATTATATTGTAGGTATTATTACTGGTGTAGAATTGATGTTATATGCTTTAGGTAATCATAATTGAAGATGTACTTTTGGTATACAGGGTGTTCCTTAAACACATGCTAATATTTAAGGAGGTAATTCTTAGACCCATTTTAAGAAAAACTTAACTTTTGAGATACAGGGTGGCAAAGTTTTCAAAAATAATCAGTTTTTTAATAATAACTGAGATAATTTTGTAGACATCTTTGGCATATTTGGTACATATGTTCCATGCCTCAAGGCGCATTTTCT